GGGGATATAGGGCAGGTATAGGGGTTATAGGGGAGGTATAGGGGATATAGGGGAGGTATGGGGGATATAGGGCAGGTATAGGGAATATAGGGGAGGTATAGGGGATATAGGGGAGGTATGGGGGGTATAGGGGATATAGGGGAGGTATGGGGGTACAGCGGCGGTATGAGGGGTACACGAGAGGTATAGCGGATATAGGCGGGGTATAGGGGAGGTATAGGAGATATAGATGTGGTATGGGAGGCATAGGGGAGGTATAGGGGATATAGGGAAGGTATAGGGGAGATATGGGGGGGTGTAGGGGATATAATGGAGGTATAGGTGAGGTATAGGGGATATAGGAGAGGTATAGGAGATATAGGGGAGGTATAGGTGGTATAGGGGAGGTGTGGGGTGGTATTCGGGATATAGGGGAGGTATAGGAGAGGGGAGGTATAGGGGATGTGCAGGGCAGGTATAGGGAAGGGGGTGGTATACGGGAGGTTTAGAAGGTATAGAGGAGATATAAGGGTATAGGAGGTGTATGAGGATGATATACAGGGAAGGGGAGGTATAGAGGTGATGTGTAAGGGGAGTTATAGGGGATGTACAGGGGAGGTATAGAAGGTATAGGGGAGGTATGGGGTATAGGAGATGTATGAGGATGATATATAGGGGAGGGAAGGTATAGGGGGGTTACAGGGGATGTATAGGGGAGGTGTATGGGTATAGGAGGTGTATAGAGGTGACGATAGGGACTGGGGAGGTATAGGGGTAGGAAAAGGGGATGGGGAAGTACAGGGCCACGGCAGCAAAAAGGACCTGCACCCGCCCTGTGTCCCCACGGGGTCCCCATGTCCCTCCACCCCTGGGCCCTGTGCCAGGTCCCTCCGCGCCTGCATCGCCCCGTGTGTGTCCCCAGGTCACTGCAGTGTCCCCAGGTCCCCGCACCCCCTCATTCCCATATGCAGCCCCAGGGCCCGAACCCACCGGCATGGACATCCCAGTGGGATTTGCTCCAGAGGCTCCAGGGCAGCCCCCTCTGGATCCCCGCGCCAGGCCGAGACGCAGCTCGCACTTATTTTTTATTAACCATTTATTGTTTGTAATTGCTTTACTCTCACATTACAATCGTGTGTTTTATTTTTTTAATATCTTTTTTTTTTTTAATTTTTGTAAAATAAATAGAGATAAGTGAACTTTTAGGTAGGATGCTCTCCGGATCCTCGGTTAAACTCCATGATTGAATCTCTGCGTGAGCCGTGGAAACGCGGCCGCCCCGCGGACACACACACTGATCGGGGTTAAAAACCGGGCTGCGAGCGGGGGGTTACGGGTTAGGGGAGCCGAGCGGCCGTCCCCGCCGCGCCGGGGCCGCGGGAGCCCTCTTAGACCATAATTAGCTTTTGGTAACTCCGGGAGGACTTTGGGGTAGTTTTTCTCGAGTTCGAAGCCTTTGATTCATCCTGGGGAGCAGGCGGCGGGGGGCTCGCGGGTAGGCTCTCGCGGCCGGGCCCGGGGACCTGCGTCCTCGGCGGCCCCTGGAAGGGCCACGTGGCCACCGCCGAGGCTGCTGCGTGGGCCACCCGCGCAGGAAAACACAATTATCCGGGAGACAACGAGCAGCGACGAGGTGGGACGCGCACCGGAGGCGCCACAACGGGACATTTCTCCACCCGCATTCGCGTGTCCATCTCTGTGAGCCCCGTCCCAGGCAGAGCCACCAGCGCCGGCCGAGGGGACGCTGGGGACTTCCACATGCAGCAGCTCCGCTCCGCCAGTGATTTTTGCACAAGTTCTGCTCTTCTTGGCCAGAGCTGGCCCTGGGCAGCGCCTCTCCAGGGAAACCTGCCCTCCGGTGTCACCCAGCCCTTCCCCTCGCCGCTCTCCAGCTTTCGGGGGACGGGGACGTTCATCGCACGGGGCAGGAGGACGGCGCGGGGCCGTTCCCCGTGCTCAGCGCGTGCG